TCTCTTATTTTGTTTTTAGCAAAATTTTTTTCACTATCTAATTGACTCTCATGTTCTGTTGTCATTTATCAATTAGATTCGAACTTCTCAGAATTATTGTTTTTATTTTTTATTACAGTGTAAAAGTAATTAAAACAAGTCTGAAAATAAAATTTTATTTTATAAGAAAATAATGATAAAAATTATTGTAATAAACAAATACTTATTTATTACCGTCTGTAAAGAATGTAGACCAAATCAATTTTCCTTCAAATTTAAAATCAATTTCATTAAATTACCTCCCATTTTAAGATTATTTATTTCCCCTTACCGGTTAAAGGATTGAACGCCTTAGAAAATAACTCGAGTTTGCCGCCTGCGTCACACAAAACATTTCCTTCTTCCAAGGCTGAATCTACGCCAAGACAAAAGACCGGGAACAAGCGGTGCACACCGGCGTGCGCGCTAAACGTCTAGGTATTGTCTAACTACCGCACGGGTGCATATAAAAACACCCAAGTAGGTCAACATGATCTTCAGCGCTACCTTCCCCCCGTGGAGCGCCCTAAGGAAACAGACCCGAGTGTTGAAACAAGCGATCTGGTCGCTTCTCAACACCATTGACACTTTACAATCTTAGACCCTCATTGTATGTGAATCAGACATTGATTTCTGCATGGGTATTGGTTTCCGTTTCTGCAAGGACCGGCTTTCGTATCAAATTTCTTTTGTTTCACATTTTGTTCACTTACCTAGTTAACAATTTGTTCGCAGGATTCAATTTTTTCCCTTAACATTTTACTTACATGAATTATTCCACCAGTCTTAATCATTTAAATAAAAAAAAAGGTAAAAAAAACATACAATGTAAAATTTCTACTGTCGTTTAAACTAGGGAAAAACGGTTGAATATTTGTATTGATTAAAATTTATAGGTTTATTGAATCATAACTCAACTGAAATTATTTCTGTAATTTTAAAATAATAAAAGTGATCGCCAACTATGCCTATGAAATAGAAATATCCTTAACCAAAAACACAAATAGGCTAATTATGCTTTGTAAAACAACAATGACAAGACTTATGAAGTGATGGAAGCACCAAGAGGCCAAACTTGCTGTGATGTAAGCACCTATAGGCTAAATATGCTTTTATGTAAGCACCAATACACCGAATATGCTGTGATATATTATACGCACCAATAGACCGAATATGCTGTGTTGTAGGTAGGCTACAGGCTTGGGTTTACAACTATGACCATCACAACACGCCTTCAGCTCTCGCTCTGTCGAGGTGGCCTCAATACAAATATCTGTTGAGAATGTTGGATACAGAGGGGTGCTTACACCATAGAGGGATGTAACTACAGACACAATAAGAAGTAAATAGTAAAAAAAATCAACAAAAATCATACATTAGACTGTGTGCCTTCCATTGACTTTACTTAAAGAGCAAAATAGAAATTAGAACTTCCTGTTATAGAATATAGGTGGTGGCTTACGATCATGAATCGATAACATAACACATAACATTAACATATGATATTTACAATCAACGGTTACTTTATTAAATAATATACGATTTACCATGAACAATCATCACATTATCATGTGTAATAAAGCTAGAAACACCTCAGTTTCTAAAGAAACCATGATACACAACCCTGTTGAATAAAGATAGAAACTCATAAAGACCACATAAATTATGATATAATTAACGTTAGTAAAATTTAAAGATTCTAGATCTACACTATTGGAGGATCGTAATTTCGAAAAAAAAATATGCTATGGTTACGACTGTAAGAGCTTTTTAACTGTAAAGCTTTTTAACCTATTTGTCCACGTAGGTCTATTGAAAACAGTAGGAGTTTTGCAAAAAATAAATAAATTTAAAAGTAGTGTTATATAACTATATTTCAAGTAATATGTAAAAACATAACGATGAGCACGCTCATATATATATATATATATATATATATATATATATATATATATATATATATATATATATATATACACACACACACATATATATATATATATATATATATATATATATATATATATATATATATATATATATATATATATATATATATTTATATATATGTTACATATATGTTACATATATATATATATATATATATATATATATATATATATATATATATATATATATATATATATATATATATATATATATATATATATATATATGAATAAATCTTATACTTAGAAAAAATAAAACCTTAGCTTGTCAGGAAAAGTAAAATTCAAACTCCAGTTGAATGTATGGAGAGCCTCTAAATCAAATGTTTACTTTCCATTAAACTATCATTAAAGCATGTCAGTTATGAAAAAAAAATTGAAATGATGCAAGAATTTAAAAACTAACGAAGAGCAAACATTATTTACTTAATGAACACTTCAGCTTGTAGAAATAAAAAGAATGATAAAAAATAAATTACATGAGTTAATTAGATTTTAACTATCTTATTGTTTAAACAATCTACATTTTAAAATGCAAAATGAAAAAAAAACCGGTCACAATTAATTAAAAACGAACCAAAAATCTATCCGCTTAATTAAAATTAAAGCTTTCTTTCTCAAAATGGCTAATCTAAAGTAAATTACCCATCTACGAATACTCGGTCAATACGTTCGTCCTGGATATGTAATGATAAAAGCAAGTAAAAACTGAAAAGAATGTGTAAGGTTTTTTTTCCTTCTCAAGGGGAGCCTACCCGGTCGAGTTGAAGCTTTGTTTAACATTTAAACTGTGGATTTCTCTCCCCTTGTATTCAGCCGCCAAAACGAGCATACGCGGCTGCCGTTTCTCGTCGTCTGTTCCCTTTCTCACTGTTTTCTCTTTTTCTCTCCCCTTTTTTTTCACACTACCTGTTATACCAGTCGGCTTGCGGACAAGGAACAGTTGATTTCTAAAGTACCGCAACTCGAGTTTTTCTTTTTTGAAACCCCACTCGTGGTTTTCTCCCCTTGAAGATTAACTCCCCTATCGCGAGCTACCGCCGGTTGAAAATAAAAAGTACAATTCACTCCTATCTAAATAATTGTTTCATTGTTCCCTTTCCACGCTTTCAATCCAACCAGCGCTGTTTAAAAAAAAAATTGTACGAGTCTATTAAATAAGACTACCCAAAACAGAAGGGAGTTAATTAAAGGCATTTGTATTGTATTCAATTTTAAATGACAACATAACGGTTGAATTATGTCCCCTTCTTGTTCATTTGTCAAGGCAGGTAACTCTTGTTTGAATAAAGGAGAAAAAAAATGAGTTGTACCGCGAGATGTTTATGAAGTGGCGGCCCCTTATTGATGCAACGGGGGGTGTCTAAAAGACCAGGATGGGAATAGTACAGGGTGTTCTTGATTGTGACAAGAAAAAAATGGGGGCGGTGTCTGTTCTCGTGTGACTCGGTCCGATGGTGAGAGTTGAACGTTAACTTGTTGATCCCCCGAAAGTGTAAATAACACATTTTTTTTCGGGGTTTCGGTTCGGTTTGTTTTCACATTTTCTCGAGTTTTAACTCAAGTTTTTTTGTTGTTTTTTTTTGTTCGGAGTTCACGATTGAGTGATTGTGGCCACATTGACGCACTCTCTGCACCAGAGTTGTGCACTCATCCATGGTAGGGGTGCACTACACACACACAGACACACACAGACACACACACATATATATATATATATATATATATATATATATATATATATATATATATATATATATATATATATATATATATATATATATATATATATATATATATATATATATATATATAATTATAATTATAATTATAATTATAATTATAATTATAATTATAATTATAATTATAATTATAATTATAATTATATATACAACATGATATATTTATCTAAAATCCATATATTGTTTGGCAAATAAATCCTCTCATCTTTATCCATCGAGCTTTATTAAGTTCAATATACACTTAAAATTTAAAAACCTTGTATTCATATTTAAGAAATTAATTCTATAAAAAAAAATGAAGAAAAAAAACCAACAATACTCAGACTTGATTACAATACCATTAGCATATTTAAGGGGAAGACTTACAAACCTTTATGAATAATAAATCCCACTGAGACCATATCTACTAACTCGTATAGTTCGGCCAATGTAAAGGGAAAAAACGAATGGTAGCAATGGTTGGACAGGTTTTGTAAAGTAAAAAACAACAATAAAGGAATTCCATGTTTCACATACAGGTAAAGCTTTAAACCAGGATTACCTCCAACCGTTTTAATCGATATCTAGATAGTCAAATAATACATTGTTACTGAAAGAAATTATATATATATATATATATATATATATATATATATATATATATATATATATATATATATATATATATATATATAATTTTATCTTATTTGTGTGTAGGCTATGGTATGTTTTATTATCAGCCTTTATATTATTGCCATAAAGACGACCAAGATTGTGCTCACTACGCGTAATTCAGTGAATCCTCTTTTGTAGAAATATTCCTTAAGGAAACAAAATCGAGAGGTCTAAAAACACCTTTTTACAAATATAAATGATAATGCTTTCTAATGCATTTAGTTGAAGAAAAAACATCTAGAATGTTTTTGACGAACCTTATAAACTTTAGAGATATGTTTATTTAAAAATATGTTTTGAAAAATAAACAGTCTACCGTTCTAAATTAAACACTCTCATTTCGGACAAATGAAAACCGTATATTGTATGTTGTTTAATATAATCCATTTTGTCTATATCGATCGATTAATCAGAGGACAAATTTTTTCGCGGACAACGGTGGATATTTCAAGGGAGAGAATCTACTGTATCGTCAAAATCTTAATGTCCTGCATCTACACTACACGCCACGATTGCCAACTGATCTAAGTATCACAATGAACATCACAAAATAGATCAGTTGTGAGTTGTGGAGATTTTAAAACTATGACCGTTAAGGCGAATGGAGCTTGATTGTATCAAACGACAAGGTCTACCTCCACAGTCCGGACACATTCCATCGTACGATGCGTTTGTTTATTCTGACCGGTCGTTTAGCTTCATGAAAAATACAACAGTGGCAGGTATGTTATATTTCTTTAACCGTGATTTTTAATTCTGTCTTTAGTGATGTGAATAAACGTAACTAGTCTAAATGTTTATTTATTGTAGGCAAAATTATAATCAAAACCAAAACACAAGAGAAAAATAATTTCAGAAAACTAAGCAAACGATGGGACGGAGTGGTCTAGCGGTAGAGAGCTGGACTGCTAACTCGATGTATCGAGTTCGAATCCGGGTTCAAGTCAGTAGACCGACCCTGAGTCCACCCAACTCACGATAGGGAAAGTAAAGGCGGCTGGGCATAATGCTGACCGCACTATCTCTTCATATGCCGAGGTCACAGAAACAAGTGAACTTTACTTTTACTTTACTAAGCAAACGAACGAATCAACAAACAAAAACCACCAACCAACCAAATACCAAAGCAAAAAGTTAATAAAACTTAGCATAACCACACCATAAAACCAGTGGCGTAACTACCGTAAAGCTAGCGTAAGAAAGGCATAGGGGCCCAAGGCAAATAGGGACCTCTTTCGAAAGTTTGAGTGGGAGGGGGTGCAAATCGAAAGTCTGATGGGGGGGGGGGGGGGTGCAAATCGAAAGTCAGATTGGGGTGGGGGGGGGGGTGCAAATCGAAAGTTTGTCCCCGGTCGCCGAGAAGGGTCGCTACGCCTCTGAGGGGCCCACTAACACTTTTTGCATAGGGGCCAAAAAATCCTAGCTACGCCACTGCATAAAACGTAACTTAAATTGTATAATTTGGAGGTTTACAAATCAGATTTAGTTGTTGTATTTGTATGACGTGTTGACCTAGTATCTACGTCACAGGATGCAGGTCTTCGCACGTTCATCAAAAGACGGAAATGACGTCATACCGTATGTTGCATATCCGCTCTACGAGAACGGCGGGAGCGCCTCCCTGGTTGGTCCATACACCACAGGATATTCTGGAAACTTCGCTGATCCTCAGGCTGCGGTGTGGTGTTACATTTGTTATGCTCATCTTGGATCCATCCAAACGTTCATCCAACAATTGATCAACCAAATCTACCCATGATGCATTTCAATACAATCATTCATCAACTAATTTATTCACCCATTCATTCACCAATTTATCCACCCATTCCTGTAGTCCTTCATACACCCATCCATCCATCCATTCACCCAACCATTCATACACTCATTCATCGACTAATTTATCCATCCATTTATTCACCCGTTCATCCACTCGTTATCCACCTATTTGTACACCCACTCATTTACTAATTTATCCACCCATTAATCTACGAATTCATCAATTTATCCATCTATTTATCAACTAATTCATCAACCCGCGTATCCACCCATTTATCACCTATTTATACTCATATTTATACACCCATTCATGAAAAAAATTCATCCACCCATTTATTCACTCATCTTTCCATTAGTCTTTCGGTACATTTATTTATCCATCCACCCACTATATCAGTGGTTCCCAAACTTTTTGGAGTGGCGACCCCCATTTATAAAAAAATTGGTGACCCGCGACCCCCATAGAATTAAAAAGTTGAAATTAGTGAGCCTGTTCGATCAAGTCTCTGACGTTTGCATCTATACACGCCGAAGAAAGAACTTCACATCTTGTTGGTGTGTTCCAAATTCTAAAATGACGTTTTAGCCTAGAAAGCTTCATAGACTCATGCCTGAGAACAACTTTTCAGAGTGCGCATTGTTTCTTCTCTATTTCATGTCCAGTGATGTTAGTAAAGCCGAATTTCAGATATTTAAAAAAAAAATATTTATGTTTTTATTTCATTGCTAGGGTTTAGTCTACCAGTTGGTGACCCACCAGAAAGCCCTTCGCGACCCCCAGTTTGGGAAACCATGCACTATATTATCCATCTGAACACCTAGTCAACGAACCTGTTATTCTTCATTCTATCCAATCCTCTGCTTGCATCCACCCATTATCACACTTCAACTGACTTTTGATCTAGAAGTAACTTAATAATTTATAAAATTAACGCATATTTAATTAACTCCCATTTACTCTACAGGTGGGTTTAAATTATGGATTACCTCAAGCTTTCACACCCGTAGATTACTCCGGCGTGGCTAACAGTAAGAAGACATCCAAGCGAGGCTACCAGAATTTAAAGATTTGTTTGATTGTTTCCCTTGGCCTGACATTGATGTTGATAGGGGCTGCCGTGGTTGCCATCGCATTTTTAGCGACATCAGATTGTGAGTAAATCTTTAGTTCAGTTTTTCGCAAATAATGGTAGAGGGGTATTTCTTTCAGACTTTTTCCCGGGAGGGGGTGGGGTGGGGAACTTTAGTGGGAGGGGTAAGGGGGGGGGGCATAATTTTCCGGGGTGAGGCGGGGCATTGGTAAAATATTTATTTCTAAATAAATTGTGTTTCGTTCTGGTGTAGGACGCGGTAGATGTGTTTCGTTAATAGTATATTATATTAAAATATGAAAAGGGCACAATGTTTAATTTAGTATTTAAAATGAAGTATAAGAAACACCTTCAGAGAATTGATAAAAATAAAGAAATAGGCATTTATAAAAAGTTAAAGGATGTATATTTTGTTGTTTGTACCTTATCATATGACAGTATTGAAGCCAACCTTAATTATTAACTCTTTTAATTTACTTTCCTTGTAAAAAGTATTAATTTGTTAATGATATATTCCGCAGCTAAACCCGATTCTAAAATTTCACAATCCAGTTCAGCGTCTCTAGGGAGCAACCAGTCCGGTGCCTCTTCAACCACACCCCAGCCTAACATCATCTACATCACACAACCATCCCCAGCCCTGTACCAGCCTACAACCAGCCAACCACTGGCTGTACAACCCGCTACAACAACAACCACCACCATCACTACGACTCCATCTACAACCACAGCGTCGACATCAGCAACAACAGCCCAAACACCAATCACAACCACAACGTCAGCAACAACAACGACGACGACTCCAACCACCACAACACCAACTACAACTACGTCGACAGCAACGACAACACCCGTTACATCAACGTCAACGTCAACTTCCATACCAACATCAACATCAACCTCCACGTCAACATCAACACCACACACAACTGTCCCAGCTACTCAAACTCCACAGTTAAACTTCTCATCACCAACAACCACATTCACAAACTACACATCGACAGCAACAACAACAACCATAGCATCATCAAACATTCATTTTGCAGATCCGACCACGACATCATCACCAGAAACAACAACATCCTCAACTACAGCAACCATTTCCACCAATCCAACATCTGCACAACCAGCTACAACAACAACGAATGATTCGCTAACAACACATGCTCTAGAAACCACGCTTAACACCACAGTCGTAGATAATATAACGACAACAACATATCCAACAACAGCAGAAGAAACGACTACGCCAACAACAACCACAACCACAGCCACATCAACAACAACAGCAACCACACCAACAACTACCACTACAACAACACCAACAACAACGACTGCAACAACAACTACCACTACAACACCGACCACAACCACTACAACCCCAACAACTACAACCACAACACCGACAACTACAACTACAACCACAACCACAACACCGATAACTACAACCACAACCACAACACCGACAACTACAACTACAACACCGACAACTACAACCACAACACCGACAACTACAACAACAACAACACCGACAACTACAACCACAACCACAACACCGACAACTACAACAACAACACCGACAACTACAACAACAACACCGACAACTACAACAACAACACCGACAACTACAACAACAATAACAACACCGACAACTACAACAACAACACCAACAACTACCACTACAACAACAACTACCACAACACCGACAACTACTACTACAACACCAACCACCACAACTACACCAACTACAACCACTACCAGGACTACCACAACTACAACTACACCCACGACCACCACAACAAGACCAACTACTACAACCACATCTACAACTACGACAACAACAACAACCCTCCCAGCAATAGCACCAGGTTCGTACATTTTTAAAAATATACTTCAACTGGTCTGTCTAGATAAGTTATATTTAGTCTAACAATCAGGTGTTAATAACATAAATAAATAATAGACAGTGGTTGAAACACCATGCTGATGAGTTAAGGGTTAATACACAGGTGGATTACTAGTCAATAGAAGATCAGCTATTTATATACAAAGATTCATGGGCTGGCGGAATCATGAAAAGGGCGTTGATAGATTAGTCTTGGCCTAGTGGTTAAAACGCTAGAAAGTCTTGACCTCTGACCCTGTGCTTGGGTCTGTAGAACGTCACAGAGTCCACTCAGTTCAAATGAGATCTGGCTAACTTTAGGGAAACAAAGGCGTCGAGGCATAGTGCGGACCACATTATACCCGATGTCATCGAAGCAGATGAACTCTACTTCATCTACCCAATGTGTCTTGGACTAGCAGAAAAGATGATGATATATTAGGATTTGGTTTCCAGTTAATGAAGTAAACATTGATTGTAAATATGTAAAAAAACAAACAACTATAAACGATATTGGTTGAAAAAAAACAAGCATGCAAAGAATGATAGTTGATAGTTTAAAGCTTTTAATTCGGAATAATTAGTATGTAGTTGAAGTTTCATGGAAAATGGCTGAAGGTCTGAACGATAATTGGGTCAGTGGCGTTGCTAGGACGGGTGTCACCCACCTAGCAATTATACGTTTTTGGGTAATATCAACCCTCTCCCATACTATTTCATTATTTGAACTGGATTAAATAGTTTTTTTACCAGAAATATTAAGATTTATCGATTCAGTGTAATCCCGTAAATGGTGGCATCCAATGCAGATGGAGGGGGGGGGGGGGCATAATTTTATATTTCACTGCTGATTCTATTGATAAGCTAACACATAAAAAGTTCACTAGATGTCGATTTTTAATGAGTTTGCAACCAGGCCGTGATTTGAATGTTAAAAGATTTAATTTTGTTTCTAGTATTGGTGACGTCACTAGATCCCCTCAACCTGTACCTACCTGCAGAGTTCCGATGTAACTTAACAGCATCCAGGTGGAACAGTGTTGTGTTCAGAACGTAAGTCTCATCTGAACCTTCTAGATAAAATAATGTAAATTCAAAACAACGAAGTCAAAATATTTAACAACCACGTTATTTTATATTATTTTTTTCTCGAGTACTTTACACATTGATAATAATTCTCAAGTTAAAAAACAATATTAAAAAGATAAACAGTGAAAAATTTGGATTGACGTGGAATCAACTTTGAACATTTCAGAGAATCCCCTCAAGGTAACGTAACCATAGCAACATTTACAAGCGACGGAAGTAAAGTGTTAAATGTCAACAACCCTCGTCACATCATCGACAGGTTAGGCTTACACTATCAGGACCAGAGTTAGACTTGATAAGGCCCTAAGTTATTTTATATGGGTCCCTGTATAAGTACAGATATTATATGTCAGTACCAAATATTTGCTGTTTTTAAAATGAAGTTTGTCGGTAATAAGTGTGTCTATAACTGTTGTGGAAAGATAACTCGGTCTTCACGATGGTTTGAATTTAAAGAAAAAAATTATAATTAATTAAATGTTAAATAAAATTGGCGACAAAATGCCCACAACGGTTTGGAGAAAATACTTTGTGTTGCCTCAGTGAGAACGGAGGCTCTAAGACAGGGGTTCCCAACCTTTTTTTTTACTCTAGAGCAAATTCTAAAATATCGGTAGGGTGGCGGGCACCACCTATTTTAAATCGACAAACTCCTTCCATAACTTGTCATTTTCCCATAATTTATTTTCTTATTTTCTTATAGTCATAATGTATTAATAAGTAATAAACAAAAATGTTTCAAAATAATAAAATTATTTGGCATTTTTTCAAATTGCATACACACAGAGAAATGTAGTTACAAAACGTAAAGAAAGGTTTTCTGCGTGTACAAGGTGTGATGTGCAAATGGCACTAGCCGTTCCAGGCTAGCGTAAATAGTGCAGTCTGGCTCGCCGCTAGACAAGTTGGGACAAGTATCGAACATATTTAATAAACCTAGGCAGTCAAAAAAAAAATTAAAACTGTAACAAATAATTGAAAATAAATCATATTTTAAAATAATGTTTATGAAAAAAATTCTGTCTCTGTCGAATAGTGAGAGGCGGGCACATACGAATCGTTCAGAGGGCGCCATGGCGCCCGCGGGCACAGGGTTGGGTACCCCTGCTCTAAGCTATAGATTGTTTAGTTTAGACGTAAATCCGGCAATGTACACTATGTACAGTATGTGTACATCTGTAAAGTACTCAATGAGAGGTGGTCAGTGACATGTGCTAAGTGACAGGTGTTTAATGACAGGTGTTCAGTGACAGGTGTTCAGTGACAGGTGTTCAGTGACAGGTGTTCAGTGACATGTGCTAAGTGACAGGTGTTTAGTGACAGGTGTTCAGTGACAGGTGTTCAGTGGCAGGTGTTTAGTGACAGGTGTTCAGTGACAGGTGTTCAGTGACAGGTGTTCAGTGACAGGTGTTCAGTGACATGTGCTAAGTGACAGGTGTTTAGTGACAGGTGTTCAGTGACAGGTGTTCAGTGGCAGGTGTTCAGTGACAGGTGTTCAGTGACAGGTGTTCAGTGACAGGTGTTCAGTGACAGGTGTTCAGTGGCAGGTGTTCAGTGACAGGTGTTCAGTGACAGGTGTTCAGTGACAGGTGTTCAGTGACAGGTGTTCAGTGACAGGTGTTCAGTGAAAGGTGTTCAGTGCCAGGTGTTCAGTGACAGGTGTTCAGTGACAGGTGTTCAGTGGCAGGTGTTCAGTGACAGGTGTTTAGTGACAGGTGATCAGTGACAGCTGTTCAGTGACCACCGCTCAGTGACAGGTGTTCTGTGGCAGGTGTTGAGTGACAGGTGTTCAGTGACAGGTGTTTAGTGGCAGGTGCTTAGTAGGTTGTGCTCAGTAGCTTAATTTTTTTTACTATTGTAGCTGTAGAAAATTTTCAAGTAGATTTATTGCCGCTTATTTTGGGAACGTAAGATAATAACATTTTCAATAAATGATGAGTCGTAGTTGGGTAATGATGTATAGTTAAGGTTTATCACGAACTAAGTAATTTCGTTCAAATAAAATGTATTGGATTTGTTGTATGCTATGTTTTGGTACTGAGAGTGTAAATATTTTTTTGAAATCAGTATATCTAGAATTTTTTTAATCTGAATGGAAGTCTAATCGGAGAAATAGAGTAAGAGAGATAACTGGTAAAACTAATTACAAAGTAAGATAACAGAGTCACCTCCCCTTGTATGGATTTTACAGTTAAAATAATTATATATTTCAAATTCTATCAATGTTGCAATAACTGTGTTTGAAAATACTTTATTTATGTTAGTTTTTACTGTTTCTTTTTTTTTTTCGTTTTAATAATTTTATCATTAGAACTAGTTTTCTCCAATAGAATTGGGTACTATGTGTCAGCCTGTTTAACTACGCCGTATGGTCAGTTGACTCCGTTTTCCGCCTTCTTAACACGTTTTTATTAACACGTTTTTAACACGTTTTTCTTAACTCAGCTTCGCGTTTGTTTGTTTGTTTGGATGTTTGTTGTTAAAATTGACATCGAAAATTAGCCCACTTCTGATTGCTCTATAGACCTGAAATTTGGCATGCATGCTACTTTCGCCTAACAATTTCAGATGCAATCATAAAAACTAGCAATTAGTGACCGTAATTAGCTTAATTTAATTACGCCTCAAGGACCATAAAATTGAGGACATGATTTCTAAAGATACCGACAAGACTGGAGGCCTATTGACCCAGTTACTTCGGCCCCAATCGATGTGAGCGCGCTGGCCGTGATCGTATAGTGGTTAGTACTTCGCGTTGTGGCCGCGACAACCCAGGTTCGAATCCTGGTCGCTCAAGTTTTTAGTCCGTGTATTTATAAACACTTTTTTAAAAACCACGTTTTTCCTGTGTAGCAACGGACTAAAAAGGAGAAAATAAAATACTTAAAAAAAACTTTTTAAAAAACCACGTTTTTCTTGTGGACTAAAAAGTAGAAAATAAAATTTTCTTTTGTGTTTCCTCGAGCTGTGCAGGTTCTTGTGATGACTGACAAAAAACGTGGGTCGGGCAGATGGGTCGGGAAATTTGATGGTGAACGTACCCACGTTTTTTGTCAGTCATCACAAGAACCTGCACAGCTCGAGGAAACACAAAAGAAAATTTTATTTTCTACTTTTTAGTCCACAAGAAAAACGTGGTTTTTTAAAAAGTTTTTTTTAAGTATTTTATTCTTAACTCAGCTTCGCGTTTATTTGTTTGTTTGGATGTTTGTTGTTAAAATTGACATCGAAAATTAGCCCACTTCTGATTGCTCTAGAGATCTGAAATTTGGCATGCAGGCTACTTTCGCCTAACAATTTCAGATGCAATCATAAAAACTAGCAATTTGAGACCGTAATTAGCTTAATTTAATTACGCCACAAGGACCATAAAATTGAGGACATGATTTCTAAAGATACCGACAAGACTGGTGGCCTATTGACACAGTTACTTCGGCCCTAATCGATGTGAGCGCGCTGGCCGTGATCGTATAGTGGTTAGTACTTCGCGTTGTGGCCGCGACAACCCAGGTTCGAATCCTGGTCGCTCAAGATTTTTAGTCCGTGTGTTTATAAACACTTAGTCAAGTCATACTTAATCAAGTCATTAGATAAAGTAGAAAATAAACTATATAAAAAACTTTTTTTTTAAAAACCACGTTTTTCATGTGTAGCAACGGACTAAAAAGGAGAAAATAAAATACTTAAAAAAAAACTTTTTAAAAAACCACGTTTTTCTTGTGGACTAAAAAGTAGAAAATAAATTTTTCTTTTGTGCTTCCTCGAGCTGTGCAGGTTCTTGTGATGACTGACAAAAAACGTGGGTCGGGCAGATGGGTCGGGAAATTTGATGGTGAACGTACCCACGTTTTTTGTCAGTCATCACAACAACCTGCACAGCTCGAGGAAGCACAAAAGAAAAATTTATTTTCTACTTTTTAGCCCATAAGAAAAACGTGGTTTTTTAAAAAGTTTTTTTTAAGTATTTTATTTTATTCCTGAATTTGTTCCCATGGTCTCTGGTTAACCACCCGTTATTCACGTCACACGTCAAGAAATTTAATCTCTAGGAAAATTTCTATTACGGACAGATTATAAACTAATCGATAAGCGTGTCATATTACAAGTAGTGAGCGCATTTAAATTGCCTAAATGTTAGTGATATTCTAAAAAAACATGAACAGGAAAATATCTTATCTAGATATTTTTTTTTACACATCTAGCTCTTAGAGTCAGTATAAGATTATATTTTGTGCTAGCTTCAGCATTAGGGTTTAGGTCTGAGGTAGTGTCATTGGGTGTTTATATGGATAGTGTTAGGTTTAATTCTATGTTAAGGGTCAAGGTTAGGCCAAGGTCAATTACAGTTTTTTGTGTGCAACCGATGAATTCAGTCTAAATAAATATCTTGTACAATGCGACAAAAATACTCTGAAAAAGCAACAAAAAAAAATATAGCCAGTTTAAAAAATTGTTAAATCAGATAAACCAAAGATTATTTAGTCGATAGATTAACGCCTCTAATCCCATTGACACATCGGATTACCCAGCCAACAGATCAACACGTTCAGCCACACATTCACCCTCCGCATCAACCAAACACAGTGTGAGGACAACGTGACCTTTGTGTGTAGGGGCCGATGTGAGGACAGAAGTGTTGGAGAGAAGGTCTTTACCAGCATTAAACAGTAGGTCATAAACAAACGGAGGATATATATATATATATATATATATATATATATATATATATATATATATATATATATATATATATATATATATATATACATATATATACATATATGCATATATATATACATATATTTTGTATAAATAAGTATGTAAATAAATAAATAAATAAATATATATATATATATATATATATATGTATATATATATATATATATATATATATATATATATATATATATATATATATATATATATATATATATATACATATATATATATATATATATATATATATATATATATATATATATATATATATATATATATATATATATATCTAATATATAAAGCTCAATTCTGTAACGCATATGTTTGTCGTTGGCATTTCTATGGATTTAAGTGTTAGATCAATTATCGTGCGCAGTTGTCTAAAATTATGAGTTAAAAAATTACTATTGAAAGTGTTGGGAAATCATTTTCATTTTTCAAATTAAAGTAATAATTGTCGGCATGGTCATTAAACACAAGTTTTGAAAAAATATCATCTTTTACAACAATTCTAATTATGTCTTTATTTAGTCCTATAGCACTTACTTCCCTTTGATAAATTAGGAAAAACACAATTACTTCCCTTTATAAAAGAATTGCATTTTGTGGAAAACAATTTACTTTTTAATTACTTTGTTTTGGTGTTGGGAAAAAAAAATAATTACATAATTAGCGGGGATTGATCAAGTGCAAATGTTGTAGGTATTTTACGGATAAGCTTGGAGTATTATAATTGTTCATTAAATTGAAACAGGCGCGTTCGTTTAAGTGAGTGCAAAAGACTGTGAATAAAGTTGGGGTACTATAGTCGTTCATTAAGCTAAAACAGGTGATTCCGCCCCGGGCGTTTATGTTCGCGTTAGTGTTTTCTTTGTGTTTAGGTGGGTTTGCGTTAGTGGTTGCGTTTTGATTTGGTTCGTTTTTGTTCTTTCTTTTTTCGTTTTTTTTGTGTTTTTTTGTTTGGGTTTGTATTTGTGTTTTTGGTTGGTTTTGCGTTTGGATTTGGTTTGTTTTCGTTTGCTTTTTCGTTGTTTTTTTTTTTTTTTTGTATTGGTGTTTGTGGTTGGGTTTGTTGTTAGGTTTTTGTTTTCGTTTGCTTTTTTGTTTGTTTTTTCTTTGTGTTTGTATTGGTGTATGTGGTTGTGGTTGGGTTTGTTGTTAGGTTTTTGTTTTCGTTTGTATTTGTAATTGTGTTAGCGTTATGTTTGCGTTTTGTTGTTTTGGTTTTGGTTGGTTGTGGTTTGGGTGGGCAATGCCGGGTTTATGATGATTACTAAACACACAGGTGATGGTCTTTAACAGAAAGGTTTTTCACAGAAGCCAGAGCAGGGCCTGGCCGGGACGGCTAGTATATATATATATATATTTTTTTTTTTCCCCCCACATATTTATGTATATTTTCGTATATACTTATTTATATATCAATTCACATGTTATGTTGATGATATATACAGTGTCATTAGCGTTCCAAAGGACCCAGGCTGTGATCCCTAGAATAATAACAGCGGGGAACATAACGAATGTGACATGCCAAGGAATTGAATTCAGGTAAGTCTGTCGTATAGTCCTTTAGATTCAAAATAATATGTTATTATTACTTGTTGCATCTATAATCTATAACTAATTTTTTTTAGAATCCACCCAACTGGGCTACTAAACGAATTCCTATTATCCTTATCCTGAAACCAGCTTATCATATTACTAACCGATGCATTATTTGCTTTGTTCAGAAACCACCCAGTATCATACTTGCAAATACCTGTTACCCTTGTCCTGAAACCAACTTCTTATATTAATAACCTTTATGAATTAGTCTTGCCCAGTACAACAACAAATGAACTTTACCTTATTCTCAAAAAACCACCCAGTATCATACTAACAAATGTAATTTACCTTATCCACAGAAACTGCCCAAGATCAGAGTTTCTTCCAGGCATCTCTTATACTCCCCTCCTCCCTAAAGAAAGTCTACTCCCCCGAACGACATCGAATTAATATAGTAAACATATACTTTTACTAGTGTCCCCCCCCCCCAGGAAAATGTAGACCGCCCCCTCCCTTCCCAAAAATATCAGTGCCCCCCCCCCCCCCCGGAGAAAAAAGTCTGGAAGAAAACAATGCCCAAGATCATAACAAATGCTTTTTATCTCATCATCAGAAACCGCACAATCTTTTGGGAGTACAGTCGACTTGGTGCCCCTTTCTCTAACTTAAACTTTGGAACACAAAATATTTTCGGCATGACCCCGCCCCTAGCTGGGTTGTCCTGTGTGGTACTCGTTAGAAACGTACGAACGGTGAGTAGTTCATCATAGTCGAATGTTTATATGGTGTTGGTAAAATGCGAGATGCGAACCTATAATGACAAAGCGGTAAAATGCGAAAAGAAAATGCGAGAGATACTTACGGAAGTAAATAGCGAGCCAATTTGCGAGCCAATTTATCTTCTTTGTTGTTAGTGAGACAGCTGTGTTGTTGTAAAATGAACAAGAACACACGTTTTATTTCTTATCGTTATTAAAACCTCTTTAAAATACATCAGAATTATATATTTATCTTGATGATCCTATTCTTATGATCTTTAACATTTTGTACAGTTGTACTTCACATATCATTATACCTTTGTGACTTATTTCTTCGGGGCAACTCCTATCCAAGGACTCTGTTTTGAACAACTCTTAATACTTACGTGAGGGGGGGGGATGGAGGGGGCGACACTGGTTAACAGTAAATACTTTATATATATATATATATATATATATATATATATATATATATATATATATATATATATATATATATATATTATATATATATATAAACATACTTTCTCTTCCATATATGAAATTAGACAAAAATAAAATTTTCATTCACCTCCGGATTTTTTTTCTTTCTTTATTAAGTAATCGCTTCAACACATTGTCTTAACAAGGTGCATTAAATGGAGATCAAACATATTTGACTACGTTTAGTTTTTAAATTTGCCACCTAGACCTCGCCTCATTCTTTTGTTAAATGATCACCACACAAGTTAAGCCTAATAAGATTAAAACAAACAAACGCGCCTCTGTTCAATGTTGCGAGACGCCGCGCCGCCTACGCCGTGTCATAAAAGCTATATAACCACTGCAACACGTCGGCTAAACAAGGTGTTCAAAACAATCATCAAAAGAATGCTAGATCACCGCCGCCAACATCACCTTACATTTATTAAAGAATAAAGTTTTTCTTACTGTACTTTCTCAGTTTTGAAAAAAAAAAAGCTAAATTTAAAAATATGAACAACTTTGTTTTATGCTTAGAATTGTGTTTATAATCAAAATTTCAAACTTAAACTGATTAAAGAATGTCTATTTGGAAATATTATTTATTATCTAATATTAACATTTTTCGGGCAAAACGACCTTCGGCAAGTGGCATTCGGGCATTTGTCGCATTCGGGCAAGTGTCCATTCGGGCATTTGTCGCATTCGGGCAAGTGTCCATTCGGGCGTTTGTCGCATTCGGGCAAGTGTCCATTCGGGCATTTGTCGCATTCGGGCAAGTGTCCATTCGGGAAATCGGCCTTCGGGCAAACGGCCATTCGGGCAAGTGTCTTTCGGGGAAAACGTCCGGCTCCCATATATATATATATATATATATATATATATATATATATTATATATATATATATATATATATATATATATATATATATATATATAGGCCTATATATATATATATTAAAACGTTTTTCTTGTGGTGGTGGGGGGTGGGGGGTGGGGCGATGGATAATTTCCTCTTGTGTGGGTGAGTTTGTGTGTGTGTGTATGTGTGCTGTGTGTGTTGTTGAAGTAGTACCCCCACCCCTGAAGAGATTCATTTTATGATACCGAATACAATTTTAAACGAGATCTAAATTTAAATCGAAATACCTCGCCCTCGTGTGGTAAATACATTAGATTAAAAAAAAAATTAACGACATTTGAAATCAATATTTTTAAATTTATTTTTTGGGTTCGATAATTGATATTTAAGGACAACACCAAAAGTAAATTATATGAAGGCCATAGTTTTATCTTGTGTTATGTGCTATTCTTTAGCACTCCCACAACGATAAAAACTTGAAGTCCGTGTACTTTTTCTTTTCACAGTTTGCTTTCCCCATTCAGGCCAATGGCGACCAGGTTAGATGTAGGTCAGGGTCAACGGGTGTCCTATCAACGCCTGTCACTCTAAATGTGGTTAACCGGTTGTAATTGTAAACAACTCCCGTGTAATGGGTGAACAAAATACAATTTTTTAAATCTTTGCTTTTGTTCTTCAAATATTTTTTTTCAGTTGTTTTTTTTAAATTATTTTTTTATTTTAATTTTCCAATTTCTGTGTTTAGTTACTCGATTCTATTTTTTTGTTCCTTTCTTTCTTCTGTTTTGTTAATTTTATGTTTCTTTCTTTTTTCTTTTCTTTTCTTTTTCTTTTATCTATCTATCTATCTATCTATCTATCTGTCTGTCTGTCTGTCTGTCTGTCTGTCTGTCTGTCTGTCTGTCTGTCTGTCTGTCTGTCTGTCTGTCTGTCTGTCTGTCTGTCTGTCTGTCTGTCTGTCTGTCTGTCTGTCTGTCTGTCTGTCTGTCTGTCTGTCTGTCTGTCTGTCTGTCTGTCTGTCTGTCTGTCTGTCTGTCTGTCTGTCTGTCTGTCTGTCTGTCTGTCTGTCTGTCTGTCTGTCTGTCTGTCTGTCTGTCTGTCTGTCTGTCTGTCTGTCTGTCTGTCTGTCTGTCTGTCTGTCTGTCTGTCTGTCGTCTGTCTGTCTGTCTGTCTGTCTGTCTGTCTGTCTGTCTGTCTGTCTGTCTGTCTGTCTGTCTGTCTGTCTGTCTGTCTGTCTTGTCTGTCTGTCTGTCTGTCTGTCTGTCTGTCTGTCTGTCTGTCTGTCTGTCTGTCTGTCTGTCTGTCTGTCTGTCTGTCTGTCTGTCTGTCTGTCTGTCTGTCTGTCTGTCTGTCTGTCTGTCTGTCTGTCTGTCTGTCTGTCTGTCTGTCTGTCTGTCTGTCTGTCTGTCTGTCTGTCTGTCTGTCTGTCTGTCTGTCTGTCTGTCTTTTTTTTCTTCTTTTTTCTTTCTTTCTATCTTTCTTTTCTTTCTTTTCTTTCTTTCTGTCTGGTCTGTCTGTCTGTCTGTCTGTCGTTGTTTGTCGGTCGTTGTTGCGTTCTTTTTTCTTTCTTCTTTGTCTTGCTTTCTTTCTTT